AATTCATTCCCAGTGTAAACCCAAAAGTGGAAAAGTCTTTAAGTGTTAAATAAATAGGTGAATGAATTTAATGAAATTGTTTATCAAGGAATTTCTGAAGACCGTCAATACATCAATTTGCACTACAGATATCTTTAAAAAGCTATAAATACGCATTTACATATATGTGTGCATATATATGTGTGTGTGATAATATATATATATATATATAAATCAATTCCCTTAAGAGAATTGAAGTGGATCCTATAATGCACTTAAACTCACTATCCTTCTTCTTTAATTATTCTCATGAGAAATTGTTGTAGACTCAGAGGAAATAAGGAAAAACCTTTTCTTAACTGAACAAAAAGGAAGACAAAAGAAGATTGTGATGGATATTAGTTCCAGGCTTCCATACTCTTTGCCTCCGTTGAATGCATTTCTGAACTCAATTCTTCTGAAACAAGCCTGCACAGAACCTTAGTGCTGAGGAGTCCCTGGGCCACCTGCAAGTGCAGGGCCATGGGTCTTTGCTGCAGGAGCTGTCACAGGACAGGTCAGGAGCTTTGTACACCTAACAGAGCTTCACTGAGTTAAGGAAAAGTCCTACCATTTCTTCCTAGCATTCCAAACACATATCATATTTCCCAAGGTAGTCACAAAACCAACATTGGTTCTCCAAGAACAGTGTGTTGTTGTTCCCATTCCCAAACCTGAAGATTTCATAGGAAAAAACTTTTCATCATGACAAACTGTCAAGTACTTGAAGCTAGCCTCACATCATTTTAACTCGTGGTCAACTGGTTAGATATTTGTACTGCTATCCTACTTTTCCTTTGTATTCATATGTACAAACTCTTATTTGGGAATTGGTGATAGTAAATATAAAAATAATCAGATTCTCTTTCAAATCACTATACCTTAGGGCAGTGTCCAGGAACTCATTTTAACCAAAATAAGTTTCATGGAATTCCAAAGAAGTATCTAGTGGACCAAGCAAGAAAGTATTTTTACATGACAATATTCATATGAGTAGGAACCTTCACATGGATACCACTTGAAAGGGAGTTGTTCTCACTGATGTAGGAGTAGAGCCCCCAGACACAAGCTAAGCACTCCAATCCCCAAATTCTGTACTGTCTCCTAAATTCTTCCTCTCGTGTTGGACTCCAGGAAAGCATCTTGGTGTCCTTATTCCCCTTAAACTAAATTGGACAACTACTGATAAGCTACAGGAGTTCTCAACTGTGGGTGATTTTGCAATTCAGAGCATATTTGGGGGTTATTATTGGCATTTAGTTGGTAGAATTTAAGGATGCTGCTAAACACCTTATAATATACTCGTGAAAGGACCAAGTCAAAGAATTCTCTGACCCAAGATGTCAGTAATGACATAACTGAAAAACTGGTCTAGCACAATTATTCTTGCAAAAACATCTATGAGATAGCTTTTTGTAATTTGTAGAAGAGTCATATTGTTAGAAATATCTTTCTTATATTGAATCAGAATTAATTTTTCCTAAATTTTTTACCTATTGGCTTTATTTCTACACCTTGGTACATAGGAAGGGAAAAAATCCCAAATTCTTCATCTACATGACAGATTATTAAATTATTTGAAAGTACCATCTACTATCATATGCCCAAATTCTCTAATTTTCATGTTGAAAAACCCTATGTTCATGTACTACACATGCTTCCCCAAAATAAACATAATATCTGATGTAATATTAATAATGCAAACTAAAACCATATAAATATTATCAAAGAAATACTAACAGAGTTCCCAAGCACAGACTGCCAACCATGTAACAGAGGTTTTGCACACATAATTTTATTAAAGTGATATTGACAATATCCCCTCCAGATAAGCACCATTAACAACACACTGCAGATAATGAAACTGAGGTTCAGAAAGATGAACATATATTCACAAACATGGTACTAGTAAGGGCCCTGGGACTGAATTTTAAAGTTCATGCTCTATGCATTAATATTTACTACCATGATATTTCAAATATAATTCAGTTTCCCTTTTTCAACTTGCCACTACCTTAGTTCTTTGTGTTCTCTACAATGCCTCCAGCCATATGTTTTGCCTCCCATCTCTGTCTAAATAAACTTCAGACTGTCACAGCTCTTAGTACAACCACATGTTAAGAAGCAGGTCAGGCCATGCGTGACTTAAAGCCTTTTGGATTCTTTTGGATTTCCCACTTTTCTCTGTGAAAGGGGCATGAGCCCATGGAAAGAGATTAGATCTAGCAGCCTCTACTTGCATGTACCCTAGGTGGACATTCTTTGATTTTCTGTTTTGCAAGACAGAGAACACAAAAGATTTCAGTATTAGAATATATCCTGAAATAAAGTAGTTTCTATGTTTTCTTTTTAAAGGTTTATATATTTATTTGAAAGGTAGAGTTACAGAGAGAAATCGAGAGACCTACAGAGGAGAGACAGAGAGAGAGAATATGAGAATGAGAATATGTCTTCTACTTGCAGTTCATTACCCAATTGGCCACAGTGGCTAGAGCTGGGTTAGGCCCAAGTCAGGAGCCCAGAACTCCATCCAGGTCTCCCACGTGTATGCCAGGGACTCAAGTACTTGGGCCATTTGCAGCTGCCTTCCCAGCTGCATTAACAGGGAGCTGGATCAGAAGTGGAGCAGCTGGGACTTGAACCAGCAATCATCTGGGATGCTGTCATCATTTTTGTCAGTGTAACCTGCTACTCCATGGTGCCACTCCCCAATGTGCATGTTTTCTTGAAGCTGGCTGATGGGTTCAGAGTGGTTTGTTACACTGTTCTCTCTTCTGTGTATATTGGAAAAAAAATTTATGAAAAAATTTCTATTTTCTCCATATTTAGCATTCAGTAACTGTCTTCTTTTATTAATTCCATACTCTCTAATTAATGTTATGGTAGAGAAACAAATATATTTCAAAATAAAATGTCAAAAATTATTTCTTTTTACCCTAAGATTAGGTCAGATTTCTTAAACTACTTAAATATTATATTTTCTCCCTTTTTAATTCTTCCTTTTTTGGTTACTAGATTCATGTTTATGGGATGTATGGTTGCAAAGAAAAAGAAGTATGTCTTACAACTATAACTATCAGAAGTAAAATATTAGTCAGGAGGTCCTCATGCATTAAGTATAACCTTCTAAGCCATCTCTAGGGGGAGGAATGGACATGACTTTGCTACCCAACTTCTGATGATGTGTCCTAAGACTGTAAGGTCCCAATGTTCTATGCCATACAGACAACCAAGTTTTCACTATTCCTCCGAACAATAGGTTTCGCCTTTCACTCTACCCAGCCAGGACAGAGCACCAGATGAAAGGGTATCTGGACTCATCAGTCATCCACAACTGTGGAATAATTACAAATTAACTCTGTCCCATGGTAGGGCACCATTGCAATCTTTCTTAATAAGAGAGGATGTTGTTAATTATTTCATTAGAAGCCAAAACACTTTTTCTTAATCACTAATAAGCAAGTTTGCTACATGCAAATAGAACACAGAACTTAAGAGTAAATGAAGCAAAAACAGGAGAGTTTTCTGTTCACTTTTAAAGAAATTGTACTGAATGATTTCTGATTTTTCTCTAACCATTGGGCACCTCCTCTCTGACTCTCCTGTCTTTTGAGTAAAGTTTCTCCTAGACCATCTGTCTTCATAAGCACATATTTCAAAGGGCAAACATATTGAAAATAAAAGTCATAACAATTGTTATCACATACTTATATTTACCTGGCATTTTCTAAGCTCAGGTACTGTTTTAGACACTTTATCTGCAGTAGTTCTCTTAAACCCACAACAAATTAATGAACAGTCGCTGCTTTTATCCTACTAATATACCCAGGAATCAAATACACAAAAAGATGAAGTAACTTGCCCAAGGATTCAGTTTTCAACTAGATGAATATATTTAATTTGAAAGTCACTCCTATCCTCAGGAAAACATCAGACTCAAATCTCTGCACTTTAATGTCAGTTATTTTTCTGTCTCCTTAAATTGTTCAATTTTATTATATGTATGCATATGTTTAAATAAATCCCCATTCTCAAATATCTTTGTTAGACACTGAACCAAAACTAAATACCCACCATCAATGGGAATATTACATAAGTTACAATTTTTCCTACTGTGGATACTATGCAGTCATCAAAAATAACAAAACTTATATAAATATAGTAAAATGGGAAGTTCTGCTTAACATATATATTATTGGATGAAACAAAATAGCTATAGAAAAATGATCAAGAAAACAAATGTTATATCTATATATGTCAATATATATAAGAAAGTATCTGGAAGAATAAATGCCAAACCCTGAGAAAATGATTTAGGAGAAAAAAATTGTATTTTATACTCAATACTTCTGAATTGTTTGATTTTTTTTGTGATTGGTTTATGCTATTTTTCTGACACAAAAATAATGTTAAACAATATGCTGATAGTAAAAATAGGTATGATGTTGCCCATTACTTCAATATTCCCACTATTTATTCCATTTTGCTTTTCCAACAGTTTTTCCCATAACAACCCCCATACATAGCCTAAGTGCCAATTGCATTGGAATTTACTTTTTCTAAACATGGCAGTTTCTAAAAATTCCAAATCAACCCATAGTATCCTCTTTTTCCTCAAGTTCAATCTCATTAAAGAAAATTGTGTATGTTTTAAATTTCTTCATATGCATCATGAAAGAAAATGTGAAAATGTTCAAGAAATTTTCTGTATTATGAATCAATAAGCTTTAGTCAATTTTTAAAATATTATTCTTGAATTGAAATTTTCAGAGAATAATAAAGAGTAAATAAGTTTTAAAGTTTCTAAATAATAAATACATTTCTGTATAAAAAAAAGATAGCTTACTTGAGCATCATGGATTTTGTGACCATCGTGAATAATTTTCAGAGTAAGACAGAACAACAAAAAAAGTAAAAAAGGAAGAAAAAGATTCATCAGACTCTATTTTTTTTTAAAAAATCAAAAAAACAAACTCTCTTACCATTGTGAGGGTAAAGGGATGGTTTTCTAATGCAGACACACTGGGACAATGCAGAATAACATACTAAAAAGGAATAAATATAATTTTTAAATGAGAAAGGACGTCAACTAATACAATGATGCTATTTATGCCTGTTTATTTTAGGAACGTTTTATAAGTTGCTGACCACTGACTCACCTGGCCAGGTCTTGCTTTAAAATTTTCTTTGACCATTCGGATTTCCATGACATCTGAGGGATGACTTATAACTGAGAGGATGGTGACTGGTTTATTGCTCCGAATACACCTATAAAGTCTTTCGGCACAGTATAGGCACAAAGGTCCAGAAATCCAAAGCCAAGTCTATAGGAGAATTGTTGAGAATGTTCTTGAAAAACATTATAAGAATATTTATCCTACCCAATTGTTAGTATTACATATTTCAATAACAACATTTGATTTGTATTTTAAACAATAAAATAGAAAGAAAAATGAGTTAAACATTCACACACATTGCAACTGAAACAAAACTAAGGTATAAAAAATATTGTCAAAACCCCACACTCAAACCCAAGTGTAATTACTATTAATCATTAAGTGTTCATACTTCCCCACATTCTTTTATGCACACAAATGTATATACACATTATATTCCTCTCTCAAGAGAAAATAAAATGAAGTTATAAAGCTCAGACTAGGGGCCGACACTGTGGCTTAGCAGGTTAAGCTGCTACCTGCATATTTTATGAGTGCGAGTTAGAGTCCAGGCTGTTCCATTTCCCATCCAGCTTCCTGCTAATGCGCCCAGGAAAACAGCAGAAAATGGTCAGACTGCTTGGGCCCCTGCACCCATGTGGAAGACCCAGAAGTTCCTGGCTCCTGGCTTCGGCCCTAGCTGTTGCTAACATTTAGGAGTGAAGCAATGGATGGAAGATCTCTCTTTCTCTGTCCCTCTTCCTCTCTTTCTCTACCTCCCCCTCTGTGTATATGTGTATAACTCTGCCTTCCTAAACAGCACTCTGGCCTCAGAATCAGCCCTTAAGGCATGTGGATCCGGCTGAAAAGCCCATGAGACTATTTCAGGCATGGAAAGCCAAGACACTCTGGCAAAAAAAAAAAAAAAAAAAAAAAAAAACACCTAAATGAAAGATCTCCACCAGTGAGAGCCCAGTGGAAAGAACCGGTCATCAAAGAAGGAGGTACCTTTCTCTGGAGGGAGGAGAGAACTTCCACTTTGACCATGGCCTTGTCTAAATATGATCAGAGTTGGTGGACTCAGGGGGCTTCCTTACCCTTGGCAGCTCATGACTGGAGCATAGGGTGATTACTGATGCCATAAACAAGAGTGCCAATTTGTTAAGTCAACAACAGGAGTCACTGTGCACTTACTCCTCATGTAGGATCTTTGTCCTTAGTGTGCTGTACATTGAGATTTAATGCTATAACTAGTACTCAAACAGTATTTTTCACTTTATGTTTCTGTGTGGGAGCAAACTGTTGAAATCTTTACTTAATGTATGCTAAACTGATTTTCTGTATATAAAGAGAATCGAAAATGAATCTTGATGTGAATGGAAGAGGAGAGGGAGTGGGAAAAGGGAGGGTTGCGGGTGGGAGGGACGTTATGGGGGGAAGCCATTGTAATACATAAGCTGTACTTTGGAAATTTATATTCATTAAATAAAAGTTTAAAAAAAAAATAAAGCTCAGGGGCCGGTGTTGTGGCACAGTAGGTTAATCCTCTGCCTATAGCACTGGCATCCCACATGGGTGCCGGTTCTAGTCCCAGCTGCTCTTCTAATCCAGCTCTCTGCTGTGGCCTGGGAAGGGTAGTAGAGGATGGTCCAAGTGCTTGGGCCCCTGCACCCACATGGGAGACCCGGAAGAAGCACCTGGCTCCTGGCTTCAGATCAGCCACAGCTCCAGCTGTTGCGGCCATTTGGAGAGTGAATCAACGGAAGGAAGACCTTTCTCTCTGTCTTTCTCACTGTCTGTAACTCTACCTGTCAAATAAATAAATAAATAAATCTTTAAACAAAATGAAGTTCAGACTAACCTGAGGATGATTTTAGAAAAAAAAATGCCCTAGTCTCATTGTTTATTTAAAAAAAAAGAAAATCTTAGATATTTCAATGCTCAGGATGAACAGGTATAATATATGTACACATAGTACACACACATTAAATATGTACATGAAGATATTTTAAAATGTGAGATTCTAAAAATGTTGTTCACTTGCCTTAACAAAATATAATACGGACAGAAACAATGTTTAAAATTTGAAAATAGTGACAAATTTTATTTCCTGTTGAGTTGGTGGCCCTGATCCCAATATAACTGTACACTTTGAGAAGTGACTGATCCTTAGACTCTTACAATTGCACACTACACCTCCCGCATCAATTTGAGGCATCCAACCAAAACTAACTTTAATGGTAATTTTTAAAAACCTTATTTTTGTTGTTGTTGTAACCATCATCCTTCCATCCATCCAAATATGCCTCTTCTGCCTACAATGGCATTTAGCCTAACTCGATGTGAAGAGTAAGTATTGAAGAACAAATGCTGCAATGTAACTAACAGTTTGACACTTTGAGACACTCATACATTGAATATCAGGGTCTCACATAAGTGAAACAGGGGTCAACATACCTGCCTGATGGTCACTATTATGTGAAACTCAGAAAACTTTTAAAACCTGTGATTCTAATAGAAACCTAGAGAAGCACTGCTAACACAGAACACATGTTAGTGCATTGATTCCAAAGTCACCTACAAGTTCAGTTTAATTTTTTTTAAGGATTTATTTTATTTATTTGAAAGACAGAGTTACAGAGAGAGGTAGAGACAGAGAGAGAGGTCTTCCGTCCACTGGTTCACACCCCATATGGCCACAACAGCCAGAGCTGCGCCGATCTGAAGCCAGGAGCCACAAGCTTGTTCCGGGTCTCCCACATGGGTGCAGGGGCCCAAGGACCTGAGCCATCTTCTACTGCTTTCCCAGGCCATAGCAGAGAGCTGGATTGGAAGAGGAGCAGACGGGACTAGAATTGGCACCCATATAGGATGCCGGTGCTGCAGGCCAGGGCTTTAATCCGCTGCACCACAGCACTGGCCCGCAGTTTAACTTTTGACTTCTCCTTCTTCTCTTCCTAAAACAGACATCTGACATTACTATTCCTTACTTCAGCCAGTATAGACAAACAGTATAGGGTAGAACTTGCATGTGGACAATTTCCACAGCCTCAAGGAAAAATTACTGAACTACGTGTTGGGTACCCCGAGGAAGAATTTTCGAAGAGCAGGTATTTTAGTCAAAAACCGATGTTTCCACAATGTCTCTGTGACTTTCAAGTTTAGAGAATTTGGTTAAAGTATTTGGTGTTTCATCAACAGAAAAATAAGAATGGCATTCCTAATTTCAATGTTTCCAAGAGTCATTGTGAATATTGGAGGAAATTATGTATATGGAATATTTTAGCACATTGTCTAGCAGAAATTAAGCACTCAATGTTTGTTTTAATATTTACTATTTATAATATTTTATGATTATAATGCAATATTATACAATAACAAATTAACCATAATAATTGGTGTTATTGTATCTAATATTCAACTTCTCTTTTTTTATAAGTTTGTTTATTTATTTAATTAGAAATGCAGAGTGACAGAAGAAGAGCCTTAAGAGAGATCTTCCATCTGCTGCTTCACTCCCCAAATGCCCACAATAGCTATTGCTGGGCCATTCTGAAGCCAGAGAAACCAGTAACTCCATTCAGGTCTCCCACAAAAGTGGTAGAGGCCCAGGTACTTGGGCCATCAACAAGACTAGTGTCTGCTAACACTAACTGATAGAATTAAAAAGGAGAGAACTATCCAACATGGGAAGCGGGATACACAGCAAACTCATAGAATGGCAGATGTCCTAGACAACACTCTGGCCTCAGAATCAGCCCTTAAGGCATTCGGATCCGGCTAAAAGCCCATGAGAATATTTCAGGCATGAAAAGCCAAGACACTCTGGCAAAAAAAAACAAAAACAAACCAAAAAAAAAACCTAAATGAAGGATCTCTGTGAGTGAAATCCCAGCGGAAAGAACGGGCCATCAAAGAAGGAGGTACCTTTCTCTGAAGGGAGGAGAGAACTTCCATTTTGATTATGGCCTTGTCTAAATAAGATTGGAGCTGGCGAACTCAAGTGGCTTCTATAGCTTTGGCAACTCATGACAAGAGCCTTGGGTGACTACTGACACCATAAATAAGAGTGTCAATTGTTAAATCAACAACAGGAGTCACTGTGCACTTACTCCCCTTGTAGGATCTCTGTCCTTAATGTGATGTACTATGTGAATTAATGGTATAACTAGTACTCAAACAGTACTTTATACTTCGTGTTTTTGTGCGGGTGCAAGCTGTCGAAATCGATACTTAGTATATACTAAATTGATCTTCTGTATATAAAGATAATTGAAAATGAATCTTGATGTGAATGGGATGGGAGAGGGAGCGGGAGATGGGATGACTGTGGGTGGGAGGGAGGTTATGAGGGGAAAAAGCCGCTATAATCCAAAAGTTGTACTTTGGAAATTTATATTTAATAAATAAAAGTTAAAAAGAAAGAAATAAGCTGAATGGCAAGTGGATCCAGAACTCAGTCCTGGATACTCTGACATGGGATGCAGGTGTCCTAAATGGTGGTTTATCTAGCTGTGTCACAGTGGCTGCCGGTCAATCTGCCTTTCTCAATGGATAGGAAAAATATCCATCATTTCTTGCGTAGCAAATAGAAGTGCTGTAATATGCAAAGATCATATGATCAGCTAAACAGAAATTTTCTACTTGTACATTCTGTAATATCACAGGTATTTTTGTTTTGAATTTTCAGGTACCTATAATTGAACAACAGAACCTGAAACACTCAACAAAATGAAAAGGCAACGAACAAAATGGGAGAAATATTTGCAAGCTACACAACTGATAAAGGATTAATATCCAGGACCTATAAAGAGCTCAAGAAAGTCAATAACAACAAAACAAACAATCCATTAAGAGTTGGGCTAATGGGACCAGCACTATAGCGCAGCAGGTAAAACTCCAGTGCTGGCTAGAATCCCATACTAGCACTGGTTCGAGTCCTGGCTGCTCCAGTTCCGATCCAGCTCTCTACTATGGCTTGGGAAAGCAGTGGAAGATGGCATAGGTCCTTGGGCCCCTGCACCTGTGTGGCAGACCCAGAAGAAGTTCCAGGCTCCTGGCTTCAGATCAGTGCATCTCTTTCTCTCTTTCTCTCTCTGCCTCTGCCTCTATCTCTGCCTTTCAAATAAACAAATGTTAAAAAAAAAAAAAAGAAAGAAATGGCCTAAGGACTCGAATAGGCATTTGTTCAAAGGCTGAAATTCAAATGGTCAACAGACACATGAAAAAATGCTCAGGTTCATAAGACATCATGGAAATGCAAATAAAAACCACAGTGTGGTTTCATCTAACCCCAATTAGAACTGTTATCCAAAAATCAAAAAATGCTAATGTTGGAGAAGATGTGGGGAAAAGGTATCCTAATACACATTGGCAGGAATGTAAACTAGTACAACCATTATGGAAGATAATATGGAGATGCCTCAGAAATCTGAAAATAGAGCTACCATATGACCTAGACATTTTACTTCTGGGAATTTACCCAAAGTGAAATCAGCATATGGAAGGTTTATCTGTACACTCATGTGAAACCCTGCCCTATGCAACAAAATAGATGCAACTGAAAATCATTATGGTTTGTGAAATAAGCCAGTCCCATATGTTTTCTGTGATATGTGGCAGTTAATATAGAATACAAACAAACATATAGGACATCTTGTGATATGACTGTTTTTAGCTCTGGTTTATACTCCTGTGGAACTGTGTTCTTCCTACATTTTAGTTGTTGAATGTTATGGTTAGTAGTGAATTAAGCCTGTGATTATAGAGGGGATTAAAATTACATCTTTGCAAAAATTAAAGGAAAAAAGTAAAGGAAGGAAGAAGGGGGGTTCTGGGAAGAAGGAGGAGGGAGGAATTTATGGTTATCATTGGTTATCATCTTAGAACCATACCTATGAAATAATTGAAATCTGTTCTCTTTATATTAATAAAAATTTTTAAAAATGAAAAAGCAACATCCTTAGATATCACACATGAAAGAGTATTAAGAACATATCTAAATTTAATGTTGATCAGTTTCATGGAGTCACAGACTTGCAGAGATCAATACAGAACAAATCTGACCTGTGGAAAAGTAGCTCGGAATCTGGGCTCTTCCACACAAATCTTCATGAATGTGTTCTGAGCAAGTTCTTCTGGTTTTGAAAATTCTCCCAAGAAAGATCCAGGCAAATGTTCTGAGTGATGCAATGGCAAGGAAATGTCTTGATGGTGAGTTTGGTTAAGACTGATGCAGCCAGGAGGGTGGGTATCTAAATTAGTTTGATACTTCAGCAGCCCCCTAAAATTCAATTAAAAAAACACAAACAAGGAGATGAAAAAGAGTTAGAGCTGGGGAGCACAGTGAAAAAAATAAGCTCTCTTTCTAACTCTACAGAGCATTTATCTGAAATGTACAGCTTATAAACAATATTTAGGAAAAAATAAAGAAAATTTAAATATTTTATGAAATTCCTTTACATGGGACTACAACAAAATTTTTGGCCTTTCAAATAAATGCTACAAACATGTGGCAGAAAAGAACACATGCAATCTTTCCAAGTATTTTTGAATCTGACCGCCTTTACTTCAAGTCTATTAGGCATTCATATAATCACATACAAGTTTTCACATCAATAAACACTGTAACAATAAATACTTTGCTATAACTCCAAACACAAAGGAAAATACGGGTATCATATTTTATTTGGCTAAGGTGGGATAAAACATGTTTTGTAGATTTCCAGAGTAATGTGAAACAAAAAGAACAGGAACTGGAATCTCATCTTTCTGGTGTTCTGAAGACAGTCTCCATACACATCAATCAGGCCCTAAATTTGTTTATTTCCACCTTCTTCAAAAATAGAACCACATGAAAACCTTAAAATAATCAGGCAAGAGAGTCTAAAGCCTTAAAATCCCAGTTTTTTTTTTTTCTGTGACATTTTAAAACACATCATTTAACTTTCTGTGTTATATATTTATTATCACCAAATGGTTAAAATCTATATCATGGGGATAGTCCATTAAATGACAAACTGTATAATGCATCAAAAAAATCACGGGTATATCAAGAAATCCTGAAGCTAAAAGTAAGATTTAGAAAAGCTGAAAATTTTTTATAATGTATTTTGTTTTTATGTTAAATGGTGCTAAAAATTTTATTTCCAAAATTATCCTTTCTTTGTTTACAGGATATTACTTTTTTTTTTAATTTTTGACAGGTAGAGTGGACAGTGAGAGAGAGACAGAGACAGAGAGAAAGGTCTTCCTTTTGCTGTTGGTTCACACTCCAATGGATGCTGCACTGATCTGAAGCCAGGAGCCAGGTGCTTCTCCTGGTCTCCCATGCGCGTGCAGAGCCCAGGCACTTGGGCCATCCTCCACTGCACTCCCGGGCCATAGCAGAGAGCTGGCCTGGAAGAGGGGCAACCGGGACAGAATCTGGTGCCCCAACAGGGACTAGAACCCGGTATGCCGGCGCCGCAAGGCAGAGGATTAGCCTAGTGAGCCACGGCGCTGGCCGAGGATATTACTTTTAAATCACTCTTCATTCTGCCAAATCAATAATTTTCGTAGCTTAAAAACTACAGCATTAAGTTTTTTACAGCTATAAAGATTTTACAAAGATAATAATTTATAACCAAAGCCATAATACAAATAATGACTCCTAATAGATCCAATATATGATACATAGGAAAGCAATGGCCAGGGTAACTGAGCTCCAGCCCCCACCCACAGTCTTTTTTCCACCTTTCCTTATATTCAGTTCTTTCTCTCTTGTTGTATTTTTTTTTTCATCCTTAAAACTCATCAACAAGAGCAGCTGTGTTCACAGGGAGTAGGATCCTGTGTCCCATATCAGATTGCCTGGGTTTGATTCCTTGCTCCAGCTCCTGACTCCACTCTCCTGCCAAGAGAGACTCTGGGAGACAGCAGGTAATAGCTCACTTAAATGGGTTTCTGCCACCCACATAGGATATCTGGGTTGCACTCCTGGCTCCTCATCTGCCCCCAGCCCAGCCCCAGTCATTGTGAGCAATTAGGGAATAAAACAGCTGACGGCAATTCATTCTCTGCCTCCCAAACAAAATTTTATTAAACAAACAACCACCACCAAAAACAAGTCATCAAGAAGTCATTAGGAAATATTCAATACATGTCAAGGCATCTAAGTATTGGACTGCATTATACAACATCATAATAGATCAAACACATACATATATTCTTTAAAGTAATACAGTAGATAGGGCCTAGTTACATAACAAATTGATGGATATTATACAAATGTGAGCTAACACTTTTATCACTAATCATACACAGAGCTCTACTCCAATAATGTAACTGTTGTAATGCTATCCTTGGACAATCCATTATTTTGATTTTGCTTCCATTACAATTACTGGTTTGCCCAAATCTGTTCCTGCTATTGATCATTCTAAGGGTAGTGGTTGATGGCAGGTTAGGTCAGAAACCTCAGGCATTTATTCTGCTGGCTATAGATTGAAGAAACATTAGCATAATACATTTAGCAATATTCCAGGTGATGCTGTGGAGTTCAAAGAGAAGTAAAATATAGCTCCTAACCTTCAAAAATCTTAAAATACGGTTTAGAATATATCTCAGGAAAAGGCAAACATAAGTCAGATCTCAGACAATAATTGCAATAGAGTAACTCAAACTCAGCGCTCTTCACTCTTCACTATTCAGCACATTAGTTCATTGGATACTCACAACATATTTAATAAAAATATAAGGAAGGGGAGAGATTAATATTTATTAACAAAGTATCATGTCAGAAATTTTAAAAACATCTCTAAGTTTCAAGGCAAAACAATCATAAAAGGCAGGTATTTTTATTCTCATCACACCAATGTAAAATCTAAAGTTTTTGCTTAGGTAAAACATTAACTAATTAGTAATCAGGGTATGGAGTTTAGACATCTGATCACTTCCTCAATCCAAGCACCTACATAATCCAAAGCAAATCAGTTACTTCAAGAAGCAAGTATCAGAAAAGTAGCTCGAAGTGAATAAAACATGGAAATAAGGTCAGGCTGGCTGCTTCTAACTGACAGTCTTAACTTCATGCAAAGCAATGTTATTTATCCCTTCTCCAAGTCCTAATGGCATTCCAATGGACACAACACCATTGTGCTTAGAATGGCAGTGCTGTTACTATCCAGTATACCTCTTCAGGCCAGCTCAAATAAACTGCTGGCATTCTCAGCATGTAAAATTTCATCTGCCAAATCCTGACTCTTCAGAGATACATCTCTTCCACATGTATTCTCAATTCTTGAACCTTATTAATGTAAATGGTATCACACCTACCTTCAAGAAGTGCACAGGCTAATGAGGTACCAGCCTGTGGAAGTTTCTGGGATGGTGGGGATGGTCTACATCTGTGCCGCCCTTCCTAGAACCTGAAGCTTCATGTGGCTACTGGGCAACTGAAATATGGCTAGTGCAGATAAAGAGCTAGGTTTTTAATATTAGTTCTTCTTTTCTAATTTAAATTGAGTGGCCATAGCATGTGTTAACATATAAAATCAGACTTGAAAGCAGTGACAATAAGAAAAAAGATGCATTCTACTAAGAAGAAGCAGAGTGAACAAAGACATGTGGTTTATTCACAAATTAGTGGAAGGGATCAGGTATTATGCATTTATCACTTAATAAGTACATTCTCTCTACCAAACCCCACCATCCCTCCAGTAAGTTTCTGGCACAAAATAGATCTCTCCTGAATTCCTAGCAAATTAATTTTAAAAGCAAAGAATTTCTACATAATTTGTTTAATATAGTAAGTGCATCTATGAATCAAAAAAAGAAAGTCTTATGTGTATTGTTCTATTTTTCATAAACAAATGATAATTTTTAAAAGATTTATTTATTTATTATTTCAAAGCCAGAGTTATAGAGAGGCAGAGGTAGAGAGAGAGAGAGAGAGAGAGAGAGAGCTCCTCCATCTGATGGTTCTCTCCCCAAACAGCCACAATGGTCAGAGCTGTGCTCATCCGAAGACAGGAGCCCAGAGTTCCCTCCGGGTCTCCCATGCGGGTGCAGGGGCTCAAGGACTTGGGCCACCTTCCACTGCTTTCCCAGGCCACAGCAGAGAGCTGGCTCGAAGTGGAGCATCCGGGACTTGAACTGGCACCCATAAGGGATGCTGGCACTGCAGGCAGTGGCTTTACCCACTACACCACAGCACTGGCCCCATCAACAAATGATAAATTAAAAGTGAAAAGCAGGAAGGCAAAAAAGTGTCACTGAGTAGTAGCCAGAATGTTTTGCCAACTTAAGACAATGGTATGAGAAGGGATGGTGGAAGGGAATACACAGATTATGTACAAACTGCACTTTTCATCATTAAATTTTAAGTTCCATTGTATTATGGTCCAAAAGAGAAATTTTGAATTATTTCTGGAATGCCTAGTGCTATCCTATCCTGAGAAATAAAGGATTTTATGGTGAACCAATATGCATGGTTGAAGATACTACTATTTTTGCACTCAAAAAAATTCTTTTAAATACGTACTTATTTATTTGAAAGGAAGATCTATAGGGAGATATATAGAGAGATCTATTTTTTGGTGTTCTTCTCAAATGGCCACAACACCCGGGTCTGGGCCAGGCAGAAGCCAGGTGCCAGGAACTCCATCCTGGTATCTCATGTGTGTGCAGGGACACAAGTACTTGGGCCATCTTCCGCTGCTTCCCCAGGCGCATTATCAAGAAACTCGACTGGAAGAGAACAGCCAGGACTGAAGCTGTCATCACAAGCGTGGCTTAACTCACTGTGCCACAATGCTGGCCTACACTCATAAGAGTCTTAAAATGGGTTTTTAACATTCAACAGTGTTTCTAAAATGTAGGTTTCATCCCCTCTCCAAGGTGTTACAGTCATCTTTTTTTTTTCATTTCGGTTGTTTGTTTTCAATGCCTGGCTATGACAAATTCATAGAAAAGAATAGAATACTTCAATGAATCTACTGGTTTACCACATGTAAATTATAAAATATTTAATGGAAAAAGTTAAATATTATAAAATACTTTACCTGCCAAAAGAACCATAAAATTATCCTTACTTTAATTCAAACATTAAAAATTCCATATAATTTTATGTCGGTAGTGATTTCAATTCTTTATTAAAAACAGAAAAAATTGTTTTCCTTGAAACATATTTTTTTCCTGCATGTTCTCTTTTACAAACATTTTTCTTTAGAGTAAAAACATAATAACAGGTTTTTGACAGTTGTTTTCCCCATTGCTCCAAGTTAAAAAAAAAAAAGAGAGAGC